CAGGTGGGTCTCGAACCCGCAGGCTCAGGCAATCCACTCACCTCGGCCTCCCAAAGGCGCAAGATTACAGCCTGAGCCACAGAGCCCGGGAAGACCTTGTCTATAAAAACAAACAAAAAAATTAGTCAAGCATGTTGGCATGCTGCGGTGGAAGGATTGCCTGAGCCCGGGAGATAGAGTTGTGATCGTGCCACCGCACTCCAGCTTGGTCCACAAAGTGAGATTTTCTGACTCAGAAAAGTTAAAAAAAAAATGTGGTTCAGAACATTACTAATGATGACATGTTGAAGGTTTCAGTGCACAGCTGATGTGAGGAGACAAGAGACACTGAGTGGCTCTCAACTGGGGTGAGGACTGCCTATCCTTGGGAGATGAAACGTGTGTGGGGGTGGGATATGGGGACAGCTGATGTTGCAATGATTGTGGAGAGAAATAATATGCTGGTCATTGGCCAGCAGGGTGTAGAGATGCCAATACGTCTTGAATGGTGCGGGATTGTCTAGCACCAAGAGTCCTCCCCCCCAAACAACAGAGCCCCAGTTGAGAAACACTGACCTGGGGAATTGGATGCATCATCTCTGTGAACGAGAAGTCACTGAGAATGATGTCAGGAAAACGGTGGAGAGGAAGACCGTGAGAGCAGGAAGCGGGAGGGCAGTGGATGACAGCAGTGAGGGGAGGCGCTGGCTGGTAGAACTGGATAGCACGCGTTCTGGTGGAGTTGGAGGTTTGAAGGAAAGGAGAAATTATTTGGAAGCAGCAATTGGGAGGCGGAGGACACACACGCTGAGGGAGTGTTTCTCCAGGGAGAGCCAGAGGTCAGGTAAAGCAGAGTTAAAGGAACATTTGAAAAAAATGGAGTCACAGATTGGGACTTCCAGAGTGCACATTGAAAAGGGGGACACAAGGACAAATAGAGGTGCTGGCCAGAGGAGGCTATGTGTAGAATAGTTGGGAACAGGGCCTGGAGATGCAAGACTGGGGGGTTTGGTGATGACTCGAGTACTTAGGAATGGCTGCCCGAAGTGTGTGGCCCTGGTGGTCTTTCAGGTTGGAACAGTCTCTCATGTGTGGTCTCTCATGGTGGTCTCTCAGCTTGGAACAGTCCAGAATCCTTAGACTCCTCCTAGGTAACAACTCCCTGTAGCAACTCCAGAGGGCTGAAACTCATGCTTCATGATTATTGGGGTGGGTACTTCTTGAATAAATTATATGGATGGAGTTAAACTAAGCAAAAATTGAGGATTCCTAGCGCATCTCCTGTGAATTTTGGAGAATCAACTACCAGGTCCCCAGACACCTGTCCAGGCTGTCTGACAATCACTTCATCCAGGAAATCCTTATTTCTAAGGGCAGAGTAGGCTTGAACCACACAGAACTGAGTCTTATCAAACATCAGCACTTTTCAAACATGAATGAACTCATGGTTCACTTGGGGATCTTGGTAAAACGTAGATTCTGATTCAGTAGGTCTGGGGTGGGCTGGAGATTTGCCATTTCAGAAAAGCGGTATGCTTAAGTGGAAAGAGAAGCTTTGGAATTGGCTAGGTTCAAATATGGGCTTTTCCTATGCTGTCTGTGTGGTCTTGGGCTAATCACCTCTTTTTTTGTGTAAAGCAGAAATGTCATAGGCTGTTATGAGAATTAAATAAAGTGTGTGTAAAATACCCATCACAACCCCAAACACACAGCAGGAGTAGAGGGTTTCCCCCCTTTCCCTGCCTTTGTCTTATCCTCAAAAACCACTATCTTTCAGAGTTTATGGTCACCTTTGTGGATTATCAACTGCTTGCCAGGGGATAATGCGAGGGCATTTCTGTGGTGCCCACTTACCTATTCTAGCAGAGGAAGAGGAAGAGGAAGGCATGAGCTTCCTTCAATCTTTGTTTAGGGCTGAGTCTTGCAGCCTGGCTCCCTTCTATCTGCTTATCCTAGTTGTTGTTTTTTTTTTTGAGTTGGAGTCTCACCCTGTCGCCCAGACTGGAGTACAGTGGCATGCTCCTGGCCACTGCAGCCTCGACCCGCCGGGTTCCGGCGATCCTTCCGCCTCAGCCTTCCAAGTAGCTGGAACTACAGGCACGCGCTACCACGCCTGGCTCATTTTGATTTATTGTAGAGATGAGGTCTCGCCAAGTTGCCCAGGCGGGTCTCGAACCCGTGGGCTCAGGCAATCCACTCATGTCAGCCTCCCAAAGGCGTGGGATTACAGGCTAAGCCACTGAGCCCGGCTACGATCCTAGTTGTTTGATCTGAAAATCCCAGGCCCTATTTGAGTGGATTCACTGGCCACCTACTCAGGGTCTAGGTACTTGAAACAGTTCTTCAGCCCCATCAGATGCACGTTCCTTTTCCAGTGCAGTGGGGCAAGCAGGCCTCGCTCACTCCACTGGCAGGAGCCTGTCTTAGTGACCTTGCTAACTTTACTCCTGAGCCCACCTGTTTACAAGGCCGTTAACAGGGTTGTCCACCTTTTGGGTGGGGATTCAAAAGCACCTGAAGGTCGCCCAGGTACTAAACCCCATAGATCAGTTGGGAGTTTGAGCGTGAAGGGAACCGTTTGGCAGCCAACAGCTTCAGCAAACCAGGCAGCTGCTCTCAAGGAAGAAGCTTCGGTGTCAGGGAGGAGCTCCAAGATGGGGGCGCTCCTCCATCCTCAGCAGTATGTGAGTGGTACATTCTGTATTGGGACCACGAGATCGTCCCAGATAAGGGCAGGGTTGCAGAGTACAGGCAAGCTCATCTAGTCTCTGGAAAATGAATGCCTCCCTGATCAGGCTGAGACGAGGCTCTTCTTTGGTGCTCCTTTGGCCTTGGCAAGGAGGTATCAACTCAAATTCCCAGTGTAGGGTCAAGGCATGACCCTTAGAAGGATATTCTTTTTGGAAAAGGGAATAAAGGGGCAGGTTTGAGAGGGCGCAGTTTGCTGGGATTCGAATCTATAAGGAAGTAAGTAGCCGTCTGCCACTAATTTACCTCTCGTCAAGTATACCAAGAAGCTGTTCATCTTTATTCCCACAGACATCTGCAATGTTAGAACAAGGCTAATACCTGGGAGGTAAGAACTTCAGGAGCAGCTAATGATGAAAGAAATGAAGACCACTGTCTTCCATGTACTTGGCATCTGCTGCGAGCATGATCTTGAAATTGCTTGACTGAATTTGAGTTTGTAACCTTATTAGTGTTTATTAGGAACCGATATTAGACTGGGGAGAGGTCCCCTTTGCTTCCTGTCTGGAAGCAACAACAAATGAGCTGTAGATTATTATTACTTAGCCGAGAGTGGACAGTGGACATTGACAAAAGGACTCAATTCATTTATTTAGCAATGCTTAACTCAAGTTTTTGAATTAGTGGAGGAAAATATTACTTAGCTAGGTGCAAAAGACCAGTGGAGAAAGAGAAAGGGTTGGGTTGGAAGTGCCAAGCAGAAGCAGAACAGGTTCATGGGAAACGAGCCCAGTTATCCAGGTTCCTGCTTGCTTGCTGCTTCCAGATGGGGGAGTGTGCGCGTGTGCGTGCCATGCCTCAGCAGGTCTGTCCCCTTGACTCCTAGGGGAGAGACCCTCTTCTAGCCTGCCCCACCCTGTCTCCATTCCCCGGAAGCTGGGGCTGATTCCTGTTGCTCTCTTTGACAGCGAAAACACTGGACCCTGGAGGTTGAGCGCAAGAGGAATGCATGTGATTAAACAAAGAGGGAGACACGAGGGAGAGGGGTTGTCCATGTACCTGCAGAGCAGATGGGATTCTTGGGTTTTAAAAATACCTCCCCGGGCAGGGTGTGGTAGCTCACGCTTATAACCCCAGTGCTTTGGGAGGCTGAGGCAGGAGGGTTGCTTGAGCCCAGGAATTGGAGACTAGCTTGGGCAACATAGTGAGACCTGTCTACACACACACACACACACACACACACACAATCCCAAAAGACAAAACAAAATTAGCTGGGCATGATGGCACATGCCTGTAGTTCCAGCTACTTAGAAGGCTGAGACAGGAAGATCAGTTAAGTCTGGCTGCTGTGAACCAGAATTGTCAGGATCACGCCACTGCACTCCAGCCTGAGACCCTATCTCAAAAAACAAACAAACAAAAAAATCCTCCCTCACCACTTGCCCAACACAAATACACAACAGTTGTAGTCTCTTGAAGTCAGAAAGCACACAAAACGTTTCTTATAAAAGTACTTCTTTAATAAATTGATGTATTTCAATGTTGCAACATGATAGCCCAATGCTATATCAAGGTAGCAAAAGTGAAGATTCCTGGTATTTTTATATAAACACTATGAATGACAGTACACTTGCATTCAACTTCACAAGAAATAATCTTCAGGTTCATGAAGATTCTTTGACAGCTGTAACATCTTTCAATCGGTAAAGATGTACGCGTATTGAACGAGTAGACAACGGAAGTCTAATCACTGAGCTGCACTCCAAAGTCATACTGAAGAGAAGGGGATACCATGGCAGTATGGCCAGCTTGCTGAACAAAACTCAAGGCTTTTAAACTTAGTCATTTAAAGAAAATACAGCATATATCAAAATTACAGAGTATCTTACAGAAACGGAGCCATAAGGAGACACACAGATTAGAACCCTGAAGCAGTAAATGTGTTTCTACCCGTTTTGTGATGGAAAGAAGTCATAGATAGAGTCCTGCAGCTGTCCGTGGTGTTGAATCTCCTCACACACACAATGCTATCAATGGACTAAAACCAGAATTCCCTGCTCTACAAATGCTGGTGATGGGTAACTTGCGCTATTGCTGTGGGTCAGAGCAACAGCTGGTTGGAGTTCAGGCATCAAGTGGAGGCTTTCTATGATTGTAAACCCCTGCCTTCTACAATCCCACAAGTCACACTTTCCAATGCTGATCCTCCCTTGTTAGGGTTAAAAACTCCCCAGGGGTACTGAAAACAAATGGTGGAAACCAGAAGCTTCTGACCCTCTAACACTGTATTACTGCCCAATCCACCATGAGAAATATGTTTTACTTGGTTACAACAATAACAAAGAAACTCTGTATCACATGTATATTAATGAGTAGATTTTTGATATAAGATTTTTTTTAACAGGTAACAAGTTGTGAACAAGATTCTTTTCCTCCAAGGACAAGGAAAAGCTGGTTAAATGCTAGTTAATTAAATCCATTCTCAATTTTGAACTGCAGAGAAGAACCTGACTTGAATGAGATTTTCTAAAGGAAGACATTTCTCAACTTCAGGTACAATTAGATGGCAAGGAATCTCATGTCCAGAATTTTATTTGCTAATTGTTAGTATGACAATTGGCCTTAGGACACTATTTCCACCAGGACCCTATTTTAAAACTCCAATGCTGTAGATGAAAGTAAATACAACAAAATAACAGTAAAATCATTTGTGTGCCAAATTGCTGGATTCTGGACAAGCACAGATGGAGTATTCCTGGATATTCACCAAGAATTGTCTAACTAATGGCTACTTCTTTGTGTCAGTAGCCCAGGTTTAAATCATGTCTGTTTGAATGAATTAGAAAAAAACCACAATCCAACACAGTATTAAAAATATGCCAAGCAAACTGCATCAAACAGTTCCTATTAACCTGGGTTTGGTGATAGGACTCTTTTTTTCTTAGTGAACAACTCACTGCTTGAGCCTTAGTGTTTTGTCCCAAATCTCATTTTTAGACCTAAACCAAGTCAACATTTCATAAAGTTCATATATTCTTTTTTCCTTCTGTCACATCTCTTGAAACAAGCACTCTGTCCCCTAAAGAACTGAGAATAATTTGTAAAGGCTTTCCACTCTGGAAACAGAACAGTCAAAAGCATAAATTGGGTTAAGTGGCTTCTTTGTCCTCAGGCCAATGCTTATAACCTAAGGTTTATTGTCCCTGTAAAAGGGTGTGCTTGAGTTGATAAAATGAATCAAAATCAGCTTATGGAAAACTTTTCAGTTTACTGAAAGATATGTATCTCTACACAAAGAACAATAGCAAACAATCCAATCTAAAAGCTTAAATAAATGTAAATAACTTTAAAATTATATATATATATATAAAGCTGAAGTCACTGCCTTGGATAATTTATACACTGCATCCAATATTTTTCATAGGACATTCATTCTTAAGGCAGAAAAATTGAATTTGACATGTAATGACTTGGTTCTTACATCCAAGGGTCAAACTGGGAGTAGACCCGAGCAGACAGATTCCTTGCTAACGAGAATTTATCTGTGGTGACAATTTCATTCTTATAGTATGTTATCTAAGAGACATTTGAGAGAACACAAAAATATGAATTTTAAGACACACAAATACGATTTTTCAAGAAGTCAATGAGACTAGGCATTTTATTATGAGGTGAAACGACTCCCATAGCAAACTAACAAACTCCAACATACTCTTTCTGATATGGTACATAAAAAGTATAAAATATCAAAGAATTACCTTTTCTGGGTGTGTTAGTTTAGACTCTAGTTTTCAAGGTCTAGTATAAAAGGTAGCCTGAATTGTTAAAAGCAGTTGAATGTCAACTCATACTGCTACTCAGAAGGCTGCCACTTAGGATATTCCTACACCATCAACAAAACCCTGTGCAGGGAGGAAATCAATGTGTATTAAAATAAAAACGAAGCCCCTCCCCCAGTACATGTGCAAAAACACTTGTCAGTTACTAACAATATCTTTAACAAAAAACATCTTAACTATAGAATGAGAGGCATTGGAGTCAGAGAGACACAAGAACATACCACCCTGCCGAGGTGGACGGATACTTGGGATGAAACAACCGTTCCATGGGCACCTTAGGAGATGTGCTACGAGTGGGAGGGAGCGTGGAGAGGAAGAGGCCCCGGGCCCCCATGGGGCTAAGTGTGTGCTCCTTCACCCCAGGCCAGTTTGGTTCTCTGCAACCTGGTGCCAAAAAACGCTAACAAAACAAACACAAATCTAAAGACCATTCTTAAGCAGGTGATGGTGACTATAACTGCTTAAGTACCTTTTTGTGTGCCTATTATTTATGCCATAGCTCTGGCAATTGTCAGAAGTGTACAAGATTACCTGCCTAATTTCTGAAGACATGAAGATTTTCTTCTTTCACGTGGCAGGAGTCCATGCAAGATTTGTAAACAGCGATACAAAATACTGTAAACATAACTTAACAGAGCTTGTATAAAACAGAAGGAAATCCAAATTTACAAGTGGGTAAAAAAAACAGAGGGCAGCTTCATACAAAGTTCTCCCTCTGGCGCCAAGTGATTTTTTTGATTACAAATATAATCCTGAGCTGAAAAACTGGGATTTGGGGGAGAGCCATCTTTGCATACAAAATATCCAAAGGACGCTTACTCTGTTTACTTTTCTCTAGTGATATTCAACTGCCAGAGACAGTTCTGAATGTGTGACTTTGGAGACATCTATAGCTTAGTGTGGCGCCCGGGTCTGGAGCCTGGTGCAGCGCTTGCCATGGAAGCGGATGCCGCAGCATCCTCTGCTTCCTCCAGTTCATCCTGGAGCTCTTGGCTGACGCTAGACTGCAGGGCAGCGGGAGTGAGCCACTCCTTCGGGAGGCAACTCTGTAGAAAGGGTATGCAGGAGCTGAAGTAGGCAAGTCGATTGATCCAGCGAGGAATCTCTTTCCCACAAAGAATCTACAGAGGAGAAAGAGTCCTGCATTAAGTAAGCGAGGGTAAGGTCACTGGTCCATTGTCAGGGAGTGGAGGATGGGAGGACAGAGGTGGCTGTACAGAAAAGCCCCTGCAGAGCCTTCAGCGCTGCTACCCCAGGCTTTTGGTCACAAGCAGCACCTTAACTGAGTCCCTGAGGCAGCCCTAATCCTGTCCAGATACTTACTTTTCACATCTGTGAAGTCAAGCTAATTCCACTGGTCTCCTTTCCCTCTTTGATCCTTGCAACTGCTTTGAGACACATGTAAAAGTACTTTGAACATGTAGAAGAAAAGACGCTTGTTAATGTAAGATACTAAAGAGTAACAGAAGCCCTACAGTTTAAATAGTCAATCTTGGATATTTTCCTATCTGTCAATGCTCCCTTTTCTCAGATTCCTTTCTACTTCCCTTCAGTCTCCATCACCCATTTTTCCAGGTCTGCATTTAACCCCTTTACTTCTCCCCTGACCCACTTGTTTCAAGGAGCTCAGACTGATCTAGAGAGAACTGTCTCCCCAACTGAAGACCCGGCTGCGTGACTCCTCTGCCGAAGCAGGCTGATGGTATGAGGCATGGAAGTCTGAAGACTCCAGCAGGGTGAACATGAGTGCCTGGAGGACTCCCTTAGAGCTGATGACCTGCTGCATTTATCTGCCCACCTTCCATCCTTGTGCTGTCCTTAGGACTCGAGCCCTTTTCCCTTGCTATTTCAGACAGCAAGAACTGGGTCTTTTAGAACACTAACTTTACTCTTTATTATTCTTTCTCTTCTGCAGACAAAACATGACGTACCTTGAGTCCATGCCCCATTGCCATTCTGATGTTTTTGCCTCCATTTATGCCAAAGATTATGATCATATGGTCTGAAAGTACTAACTTAGATTCTAGCGTATCTTTTTTTTTTGAGTTGGAGTCTCACTCTGTCGCCCTGACTGGAGTGCAGTGGCCGCTCCGGCCACCGCAGCCTCGACCTGCTGGGCTCTGGCGATCCTTCCGCCTCAGCCTTTCGAGTAGCCGGAATTACAGGCACGCGCTACCATGCCCAGCTGATTTTTTGATTTATTGTAGAGATGAGGTCTCGCTGCCCAGGCGGGTCTCGAACCCGCAGGCTCAGGCAATCCACTCACCTCAGCCTCCCAAAGGCGCAGGCTTACAGGCTGAGCCACCGAGCCCGGCTTCTTGCATATCTTATAAAGACTTTAGCTAAAATTTAAGTAAGCTGGTACCTATAATTATGCAACATAACTTTTCTCCCTAAAGGTTTAGCCCTATCTCTTAATACTTACTACATTTATATTATTATTATTTTTTCCTTAATGTCCAGTTTAACAGTAAACACTAATTTTAAATATTATGTTTCTATGGTTTTTCTTTTTGAGAAACTTGCCCATGGCAGGTCTTTCTGCTATGACTCTTCCTTTTTCCATCTCTTCTCACTAATAAACTTTGTTTTAAAACTTAAATGGTCTCACTTGAGGGAAGGTAACATGCTCTGACCATTTTTGATTACCAAGCACCTATTACAGTGCCTCAGAGTCAAGAGAGGTAGACGGGTACTTAAAAATATTTAAAGAATGCATACACAAACTAGATCTGGAAGAATGCTGAGCACTGACCTTCTATGTTACCAATCCCATCTGTCTACTCTTAAAAACACTGGCAAACAAATATTACATTATATTTAACACTTGAGACATGTCTATGGAAGATTGTCTACATATTTGGAGATTAACCATGTTAAGTGGTGACTAAGAATATTTAGGCTAATGTGATAGCCACTGCTGCCATTCAACAGCCATTTCCTTCATTCTCCTTCCTTCCGGAGTCCCAATTTTACTCAGTCATCTACCCACTTCCAACTATCCATGGGCTACAGGTGAAGCTGACTTCATCTCATTCCCTGGGGGTGTGGCTTGATCAGCCTCAGACAGAGTTCTGTAATCTTATAGACACCTGTTTTTGTAGATGAAGTTTTCCTGCAACATCGCCATGTCTATTTGTACATGTATGGCTACAATGACGGAGGCAGAGTTGGGACCATAACCAGTCTCTTAAGTCCCAAACATTTACTGGCTCTTTCAAATAAAAGTGTACCACTGGGCGTGTCAGCTCACTGCTATAATCCCAGACTTCAGGAGGCTGAGGTGGGCAGACTGCTTGAGCCCAGGAGTTCAATACCAGCCAGGGCAACATAATCGTAATGAAACCTTGTCTCTACAGAAAAAAAAAATTAGCTGGGTGGGTGGTGAGGTGGAAGAACTGACTAAGCTCAGGGGGTTGAGGCTGCTGTGAGCTATGATCGCTAGGATTATGCCACTGTACTCTAGCCTGGGCAACAGAGTGAGATCCTGACTCAAAAAGAAAAAAAAGAAAAGAAAAAGAAAACACCGTACCAACCTTTGGTCAAGTCAATGTTTCTAAAACTTTGAGTCATGACCCATTAGTAGGTCATTTAGCATTGCAGTCTGAATTTTTTTACATTAAAATAAAAAAAAGTTACTCAGGGAGTATATGTGCAGGTTTGTTACATGGATATATTGCATAATGTTCTATTGTACCCATCACCCAAATAGTGACCACTGTACCCAATACATACTTTTTCAACCCTTATCCCCTCCCAACCTTTCCCTTTTTGGAGTCCACTTGGGCAGCCAGCTCCATTCATGTGCAACCTGAATTTTAAAAATAAAACAGATGCCTGAACCCGCAGGTTTGAGACCTGCCTTGGCAAGTTGGCGAGACCTCATCTCTACAATAAATCAAAAAATTAGCCGGGTGTGGTAGCGCGCGCCTGTAGTTCCGGCTACTCGGAAGGCTGAGGCGGCAGGATCGCCGGAGCCCAGCAGGTCGAGGCTGTGGTGGCCGGGAGCGGCCACTGCACTCCAGTCTGGGCGACAGAGTGAGACTCCAACTCAAAATAAATAAATAAATAAAAAATAAAATAAAGTAAAACAGATTTTAGGTAATGAGGTAACTATGACACTTGTCTTAGTTATGTATGTGTTTGTATATAAACTAGGTCACACAATATAAAATGCATTTCTTACGGTGGCTAGTGGTCAATAGTATTTGAAATATGTGGCAAAATTACTTTCGAGCTTAAACTTCAACCCAGCAATCCCTTTTCTAGAAATCCATCCCAGAGACACAGTAGCAAAGATAAGACATACATACAGGTTATTCATTACAGCACTTTTCTGGTTTTTTTTAGTTGGAATCTCACTCTGTCGCCCAGACTGGAGTGCAGTGGCCACTTCTGGCCACCGCAGCCTCGACCTGCTGGGCTTCAGTGATCCTTCCACCTCAGCCTTCCGAGTAGCCAGAATTACAGGCGCATGCTACCACGCCCAGCTAATTTTTTGATTTATTGTAGAGATGAGGTCTCGCCTGCCCAGGCAGGTCTCAAACCCGCGGGCTCAGGCAATCCACTCACCTTAG